ACAGGTGGAGAGCCCGGCGGCCGCTTCACCCTGAAGATCCACATGCCACTGACGATGTTCGCCCCAGGAGGGGGAACCGCGTCAACGTAGGTGCCTGTGGACTTCCAGGAAGCCATCTCTGCATCCATAGCTGCCTGCCACTGAGAGGAGTAGGGACCCTCTACGGCCTCCGCGTAAGAACGCGGAGTCGGGATGTCTAGTGCATCCGGGTCTCCCTCAGGGGCAAGCAGTACAGACGCGAGATGAGGTGAAGCAGCCGCTAGACACTGTAACTCCTCCTGCCTGTCCTCTAGGACGTCCGTGCCAAGAGCACACTCACCCCCGACGGACGGAGGACAGACAGACACAGACTCAGCAACAAGACTAGCAGCGTAGTCAAGACGACAGCGAGCAGCAAAGTCGACGAGCTCAGCGACAAGAGCAGACGCAGCAGTGGACTCAAAAGAGGGGTCAGTGACGACAGTAGCCAGCAAACGCGTGACAGTAGGACTGGCAGCACGAAGAGAGTCCGACTCAGGGTCGGTAAGCGCAGGAAGAGAGGACTCAGGAGGAGAAGGCAAAGGGGCACGCAGGGGAGCAGTGGACGGACGCAAAGACATCCAGTGCGTGCCAGGGACAGGAGGAGGACGCTGACACGAACTGCGACCACTAGCGCGAGCAGCACGAACAGGCGACGCGGGACGAGACACAGGCTCACGACGCTCAGCAAGACCTCCAGTAGGACCAGTGTAAGGAGAGGGAGCAGATAGTGGAGAGGAAGGCTCCAGCAGGGAGTGCGACTGGACAGGCTGTGGACACTCTACCGAAGGAGAAAGGCCAAGAACCTCCTGTAGGAGCGGAACGAAGTACGGCCGAGGCCCCGCGGCAGCTCCAGACTCAGCAGGGACAGCACCAGCACCCTCAGCGACAGCACCAGCGCCACCAACACCTCCAGCGGCAGGACCTCCAGCAGCACCAGCAGCAGAACCACCGCCAGGACAGACAGCAGTAGTCTCAGCACCAACACCCTCAGCAGCTCCAGCTCCAGTAGGACCCGCAGGCCCAGCAGCTCCGGGACCGGCAGCACCAGCACCCTCGACGGTCGACGAAGCTCCAGCTCCAGCAGCACGCCTCCAGCGGCGAGCAAACCACTTGCGCAGCTCCTGTGGAGAGAGGGGCTCCCGGCGAGACGCAGCAGCAGGAGAAACCCCAGGCTCAGCAGCTCCAGACTCAGCACCCCCAGGCACAGCAGCTCCAGACGTAGCATCCCCAGGCTCAGCAGCTCCAGACTCAGCACCTCAAGGCTCAGCAGCTCCAGACTCAGGAGGACACGCAGGCCCAGCAGCTCCGGAACCGGCAGCACCAGCACCCTCAGCAGGCGAAGAAGCTCCAGCTCCAGCAGCACGCCTCCAGCGGCGAGCAAACCACTCGCGCAGCTCCTGTGGAGAGACCGGCTCCCGCCGAGACGGAAGAACCGGAGAGCCCCCAGGTCCAGCAGGCGCAGGCTCCGCACTTCCAGGCCCAGCACCCCCAGGCTCAGCAGCTCCGGACGTAGCACCCTCCAGCGCAGCACCCCCCGGCTCAGCACCCCGAGACTCAGCACCCCGCGGCCTCGCACCCCCAGGCTCAGCACCCCCAGCAGCAGCACCCCCAGGCTCAGCACCCGCAGCAGGACCAGACTGAGCAGCAACCTCGACTGGCTCGACTGTGTCTACCTGGGACACACCTGAAGGGGCAGGAACCTGAGGGGGGAGGGGGTCTACCGAGGGGGAGGCTGGTACCAGGAAGTCCGGTGGGGGGGGGAGGGAAGGAGTACGGTAGGGGAAGAGGCGGTAGAAGGGGACTGACTCGTCGAACGTGACGTCCTGGGAGGACAGAACACGACGAGAGGAGGGGTGGTAGAACTGCCACCCTGGAGCGTCAGGGGGGAAGCCAAGGAAGACACAGGGAGCAGCACGGGGGGACAGCTTGTCCGCAGACAAGTCGCGGACAAACGCCCGAGATCCCCAGACACGGAACGCAGACGCATCGCCGACCTTCCCCGTCCACAGTAACACTGGGGACATCGCGGGCCGAGAGACCCTGGGGTGAAGGTTGAGCTGATGCGCCGCGTACCGAACCGCAAACGGCCACAGAAAATGGGGGGCAGCCGCATGCATCATGGACGTACGAGCGACATCCATGACCATGCCAATGCGGCGCTCAGCAATCCCATTTTGCTGTGGAGAGTCCGGAAGCGTTAAGGTCTGGCGGATTCCCTGTGCACGACAGTAGTCTCGCAGAAGGCGAGAGGAGAACTCCCCACCTCGGTCAGAGTGCAGACGCAGAACAGGAAAGTCCGAGCCGAAGCTCCTCCTGAGCTGGAGACGAGCCTCGCGGATCCAGTCAATCAACACCTCAGTGACAGCACCCTTGCTGCACAAGGGGAAGACTGAGGTGTAACGCGAGTAGTCGTCAACCACCAACAGGAAGTAGCGCTCGTGACCCTGCCCACGGACGGGGGCCGGGCCCCACACGTCCATCTGAAGCGTCTGCAGAGGAGCCTCTGTCGGGGGAAACTGGGAGGAGTGAGGAGCAGCCCTGAGGCGCCCCTCGACACAGGGGACACATGAAGGTCCTGGTCCCGAAGGAAGGGGAGGGAGAGACTGGGGAAGACCAGAGACAAGGACACGGGAAGCCATGCCCCGAAGACGGGGCAAGGAGGGGTGGCCAAGACGGTGGTGCCACAGGAGAGTCTCGTGAGACAGGAGGCGACACGAACAGGGGGCAGACTCAGGACCAGACCTGGACGCAGCAGCAAACACCTGACCCGACGCTGCTACCTGACCGGACGCAGGGACAGGAGGAGACTCAGTGGTCAGGGTGTAGAGGCTCGACCCCGGCCGACGCGAGAACGTGGCCAGGTGCCGGCCTGTGCGTGCGTCCGTGCAGTGGGTCACCCGCTGACTCGCAGGAGTGAACTGGTGAACCCCCGCATCCTGTAGGTCTGCACTACTCACCAAGTTCATCGAGAACGAGGGGAGGTACAGGCCAGACAGGGTGCCCGAGGGGGCAGCCGGACACGGGAGGACAGTGGAAAAGTGAGCGAGGACAGGACCCCCAGAGGGGTCAGCCAGGGAGACTGCAACCGGCCGACCAAGCGGCGTGAGTGTGGTGCGGTCCCGAAAGAAGGAGCGAGAAGCCCCAGAGTCAAGTGTAAAGGTGAGGGAGGCCGAAGCCAACGCGGTACCTGAGAGCACAGCCTCACCCGCACCTGAGGAAGCAGACTCACTAGCACCTATAGCAGCAGCCGCACCTGTACCTGGAGCAGGAGACGCACTAGCACCCAGAGCAGCAGCCTCACCAGTAGCTAGAGCAGCAGGTCCTATACCTGGGTCAGGCGGGACGCACAGGGGACCGGCACGGTCAGCACTAGTAGGCAATGCATACATGGTAGTGAGAATAGCATCAGAGTCAAGAGCATATATATCTACCCTCTGCCTAAGCAACTCCACCCAGTCGGGAAGCTCAGCCTCGTCGCCAAACACGGTACGCCAGGCGTCGCTCAGACGGGCGAAGCAGCGGGACTGTGTATGACTAGGTGTCCCACAAGGCTGACCAGTCCGAGTACCAGTGCGAATCACGTAAGAGCAGCGAACAGCACTGAGAGACCCTCAACTCTGAGCGTACCACTCACGAAGCTGGCGAGGCATGAGGGACACGCGAGAGGGTCGCGGGAGCTGCATCTGGCCGCCACCACGAGTAGAAGCAGCAGGAGTGGTAGTAGGAGTAGCGCCGCCACCCCTACAGCCCCAACCAGCGTACCACTCACGCAGCTGCTGGGGCGTGAGGGACTCACGCAGGCGTCGCTGGGGCTGCATCTGGCTCCGCAAGTAGAAGCAGGAGCAGGACTAGCAGCAGGAAGGCAGGCAGCCAGGCAAGCCAAAAGGCAGGCAGGCAGGCAAGCAGGCGACGCGTAGCGTGCTAGCAGGGCAAGAGCTCACCAGTGGTGGGAAGAGTAGGCTCGGCGACTCAGCGGCTCGGCAGCACGGCGGCTCGGCGGCTCGGGCGACTCGGGCGGCTCGGCGGCAAGGCGGCTCAGCAGCAACTGCAGCTCAGCAGCTCGGCGACTCGGCGGCTCGGCGGCAGGGCGGCTCGGCAGCAACTGCAGCTCAGCAGCTCAGCGACCCGGCGGCTCGGCGGCAGGGCGGCTCGGCTGCTGGGCGGCTCGGGTGCAGGGCGGCTCGGCGGTGGGGCGGCTCGGCTGTTGCAGGTGAGTGGCTCGGCTGCTGCAGTGGGAGATGAAGGAGGAGGAGAAGCAGGGGAGGCCACACACCTGCCACCCCTCTGCTGGCCTCTCAGGTCGCCTCGACAGGCGACGGGAAAAGGGGGGGTGGTGGGGGCCGGTAGGTGCAGCGGCGGGGCCAGCAGGTGCAGTTGCGGGGCCGGTAGAAGGGGACGGCAGGAGCCGTCAGGAGGCGACCGGGCCGCGACGGGGCAGCTGGGCCGGGATGGGGCGGGGCCGCGATGGGGCGGCGGGGCCGCGACGGGGCGATGGGGCCGCGACGGGGCGACCGGGCCGCGACGGGGCGGCTGGGCCGCGACGGGGCTGGGCCGCGACGGGGCGGCTGGGCCGCGACGGGGCTGGGCCGCGACGGGGCGGCTGGGCCGCGACGGGGCTGGGCCGCGACGGGGCGGCTGGGCCACGACGGGGCTGGGCCGCGTCGGGGCGGCTGGGCCGCGGCGGGGCTGGGCCGTGACGGGGCTACGGGGCCGCGACGGGGTGGGGCCGCGACGGGGCGGCTGGGCCGCGAAGGGGCGGCTGGGCCGTGACGGGGCGGGGCCGCGACGGGGCTGGCTGGGCCGCGACGGGGCAGGGGCCGCAAAGGGGCGGGGCCGCGTCAGGGTGGGGCCGCAACGGGGCGGGGCCGCTAGAGGGCGGGGCCGCGACAGGGCGGGGCCGCTCGAAAGGTGGGCGGCGGGGCCGCTAGTAAGGGCGGCGGAGCCGCGAGAGGAAGTGCGACTCGGAGAGTCGCTGAAAAATGCGCGCCTCGGGGCGCGCTTCGGTGGGCCCAAAAAAAACGGTCCTTAGGAAGGACCCGCTCTATACCATGTGAAAGTAAGAGAACAGGAATGAATGAACTATGAATGAAGGCAGTACAAATATGAAACCCTAACTGGGTTGTACCCCCTATGGGATACCCCACTACAGCCTACACAAGAGTATAAGCTATAGATATATTCTGACATCTCGCTCTTGACCCTACCACCCTCACTGTCGACGACTTCGAGAAACACCTCCTTGCAGCACAAACGAGCATTGTCGCTGTAGGTGTGCTCGTGGCACTCCTTGCACTCCCCTCTTTGAGGGGCGTCCCCCCTCCCCCCTTGCCCCCTCCTATGTTTCTGTTGCTGCTGTTGACTTCCTTGGTGCTGAGGAGGTCGGCGCTACTTCTGCTCCTAGTGGGAAGCGCCGCAGCGGCAAGGGAAAGAGAGGCAGGAGTGGTGGAGGTGGCAGCGGGGGGGGCGGTGGTGAAGGCGACGGGTGTGGAGGAGGTGGCGGAGGTGGCGGTGGGAGTGGTGGCGGGAGTGGAGGCGTCGGTGGCGGCGGTAGCGGTAGTAGTGGGAGTGGAGGCGGCGGAGGCGGCGGCAGTGGGAGCAATGGTGGTGGAGGCGGCAGCGGCGGTAGTGGCGGCAGTGGGAGCGGTGGCAGCGGCAGTGGTGGCGGTCGGGGTGGAGCCTTTCAGAGGGGAGGCTCTGGTGGTGGCCAGAGGCAGCAGCAGCAGTAGCGTCCGCGCGAGACCCTTACGCCCTAGCAGCTTCGTGAGTGGTATGCTCAGCGTGGGGCGTCTGGGGGTGCTGTTCGCTGCCCGTAAGTCATTCGCACAGGTCCCCACACTGGTCAGACATGCGAGAAGTTTCACACCGAGTACCGCTGCTTCTCTCGTCTTGATGATGCCTGGCGCACACTGTTTCTTGATGCACTTGAGCTCCCCCGCTGGGCAGACCTGCTTAGGCGCGATGTCGATATCTTTGCTCTTGAATATGGTGCTATTCTTGCTGCCATGTATGCATTGACTATTAGTGCTGAGGGTGACTGTTACCTGTGTGTGCCGCCCGACCCAGGTACAGAGGCTACTGCTATAGGTGCTAGTGAGTCTGCTCTCTCTGCTACTGCGCCTGCTGAGGCCTTGCACACTTTCACGCTTGACTCAGGTGCTTCTTGCTGCTTCTTTGGTGACAGTAACACAGTCACACCACTCCCTGCACCTGTTGCAGTCTCTCTGGCTGACCCCTCAGGGGGCCCGGTTCTTGCTCGTTCCACCATTGTTCTCCCGTGTCCGGCGGTTCCGTCTGGCTCGCTGTCAGGTCTTCACCTCCCTTCGTTCTCGACAAACTTGGTGAGCAACGCAGTCCTCTAGGATGCATGGGTTGATACCTTTACCCCTAAAGGGCAGCGTATGGCGATCTGTACGTGCTCCCGGACCGGCCGTCACCTGGCCACGTTCAGACGTCGGCCAGGGTTGAGTCTGTACACACTGACTACTGACCCTCCTTAGGTAGTTGCGTCTGGTCAGGTGTCCGCGTCAGGTCAAGTAGCCACCCCTTGCTTGTGTCGCCACCTCTCGCACCAGACTCTCCTGTGGCACCACCGCCTTGGTCACGCCTCCCTGCCACGCCTCTGTGCCATGCACTCCCGCCTCCTTGTCTCTGGTCTTCCCAGGTCTCTGCCCCCCCTTCCGTGCTCGCCTCCCCCGCCCTGTCTTCCATGCGTCAAGGGGCGGCAGCACGCCGCTCCTCACTCCTCCTCGATCTCTTCGACCGAGGCTCCCCTGCAGACTCTCCACATGGTCGTGTGGGGCCCAGCCCGCGTCCAGGGACAGGGCCGCGAGCGGTATTTTCTGCTGGTTGTCGACGACTACACGCGTTACACCACGGTCTCCCCCTCCGGTAGACCCCCTCTCCCCTCAAGGTCCTGCACCTTCAGGCGTGTCTCACGTAGATCCACTCCCCTTGGTTGAGCCTGTCAAGGTCACTGGTGACTCTGGTGCTCCTGGGGGTGCTGAGCCTGCGGGTGTTGAGCCTGAGCGTGCGGAGCCTTGGGGTGCTGAGCCTGAGCGTGCGGAGCCTAGGGGTGCTGAGCCTGAGCGTGCGGAGCCAGGGGATGCTGAGCCTGCTGGTGCAGAGCCTGGTGTTGCTGAGTCTGGGGGTGCTGCGCCTAAGGGTACTGCTTCTCCACTATGGGAGCCTCTCTCACCGCAGCAGCTGCGCGAGTGGTACACTCAGCGCACCCGCCTTCGAATTGTTGCTGCTGGAGATGGAGGCCTTGGAGCTTGCAGTCCTGGAGATGCTCGAGGTACTGCTGGTGCTGGAGGTACCGGCGGAGCTGGAGCTGCTAGTCCTGGAGGTGCCGTACTGGAGGTACTAGAGCTGCCGGAGCTGGTGGTGCTGTCGAAACTGGTGGTGCTGGTGGTCCTGGCACCACTAGTCCTGGAGGTGCTCGTACTGGAGGTTCTGGAGGTGCTCTCTCGCCGAAGGAGCTACGCGAGTGGTACTCTCGGTGCTGCCGCCTTCGGAGTGGCGCTGCTGGGAATGGGGGCACTGCGGCTGGAGACGCGGGAGCTAGAGGTACTGGAGCGGTCGGAGCTGGTGGTGCTGCGGACACTGGATATGGAGCTGGAGACCCGGGAGCTGGAGGTACTGGAGCTGGTGCTAGAGGAGCTGGTGCTGGTGGTACTGCACAACCGCGACTGTTCTTCGCTCCGCCATCACCATCGTCTCTGCCGCCACCTGACTCAGTGCTTCGCCAGGTTCTTAGCCTCAAGTCTTCTATTGGTCTCCGGTTACAGCCAGGCTTTCAACTGAATGCTCCTTCTCCTTACACTGAGTAGACAAACTCTCTTACAGAGCATCGTGAGCCTGTGTCTTGCTGTGAGAGTACGACGGCTTATGCCAGCTATGCTTGCTTGCCTAAAATTTATTATGCTATTTTCAGCATACGATTATTCTATGCATGCATGAATTGCTTGATTTCCTAGGCTAGGTGCTTTCCTATATTTTATTATAGTTATAGCACCGAGCTAGGTTGCGTACACCGCAATCTGGGCTTTTCGGTTGCCACCGAATTGCCTTCTACCGAATTTGGGAAGGGTCAATTCGGGACGCTTCGCGACCCTCGGAACCTTCGCGTAACACTTGGTTACTTAGGCTTGTGTCGAGCCTATATAGCCTCGTGTTGTACCCATGTGAAGCATTCAATTCAAACTCTCTTTTTTGAGCTCGATCCTAGATCCTCACACTTGGTAATCAGAGCCGTTTACACGCAACATTTTTTCGGCCGCTAAAACCAAGTCTTCAAAAAACCGCGGGGGCGACGACTGTTAAACACCGGTTTCGAGTACGCATAACCGGTTCCGTGCTTTTCACCCCCCCTCGATTTCGGTTTTTGTACGCTCAATGTCAGGCATGGAGGGTCAAGGCGACAACTACGTGACGACGAGCGACATCGCCAGCCTTCGCACCGACGTGGAACAGACGCATGCGGCGATTCGGCGAATCGAGGCCCTTCTAAGAAACCAATCCGCAGCCACCACCGCAGTAGTCAATGCAGCAACGAATGTAGCAGCGGCATCGACACCGACATTTCACGGACCGATGGCACCACCGACGCCGAACCTCGAAGCAGCTCGCCCGAGGCTCCCCGAAGCATTCGATCCAAGCGCGAAAGGATCTGACATTCGACATTTTGTGGCGACCCTCGAAATTTATTTCGAGGCCATTGGCTATTCGACCCCGACACACGACGCAGCACGGATTCGGCTCGCAGTGACACTGTTGAGCGGACCAGCACTCGAGTGGATTTACTATTCTGACGTGGCCCGCGGGGAGAAAACGTGGATGCAATTTTGCGAGGATCTTATCGAACGCTTCGAGCCAATCAACCCAGTCTACATGGTGCGGCAGCAGATTCACCGACACAAACACTACAGCAGTGTAGCACAGTACATGCAGCAGATGGAGTAACTGTTCAACCGAATTACCGACCTGACCGAAGGCGAGAAAATCCAGGCGTACACCGAATGATTAAAAATGGAGATTCAACGGCAGGTGATTTCGGCGAACTACAGTAGCTACCGCGACATCGTACGGGCAGCCGAAAGGTACGACGCGTTGACGCGGGGTCAACCCGAAACACGACGCTACGGGTCAAACCGTACATTTGGCCCGGAGCGATCGGCATCCTCCACCTTCGCGGCGGGGCATCAAGTCTTGTCGTGCTACGAAATGAAGAAAGCACGTGCGGCAATGCTGGGCGCCAACAGTGGAGCACCCGCGAAATAAAAAAACGGGAATCACCTGTCAGAACATTATAGCTTATGCTTTTGTGTAGGCTGTAGTGGGGTATCCCATAGGGGGTACAACCCAATTAGGGTTAGTACTTGTACCCACTTCATTCATAGTTCATTCATTCTCGTTTCTTCTCATTGTATCGAGCAGGTTCCCTCGTGGGAACTGATCCTAGGGCCCACCAAGTCGATTTTTTTTTTCCTGCCCGGATCGCGCTCCGCTTAGGCCCGAGTCGCGCCTCGTGTGCCCTCTCTACCGTCGCGCCCTTCCTAGGCCTCCCTCGGCCCCGTCGCGTCGCCCCTAGCGGCCTCCCTCGAGCCGCCCTTACTCGGCCCGTCGCCACCCTTCGCGGCCCGTAGCCGCCCTACGCGGCCCGTTGCCGCCCTTTACTCGGCCCATAGCCACCCTTACGCGGCCCGTCGTCGCCCTACGCGGCCCGTTGCCGCCCTTCTTCGGCCCGTCGCCGCCCTTACGCGGCCCGTCACCGCCCTAAGCGGCCCGTCGCCACCCTTACTTGGCACGACGCCGCCCTTTCGCGGCCCGTCGCCGCCCTACGCGGCCCGTCGCCGCCCTACGCGGCCCGTCGCCGCCCTACGCGGCCCGTCGCCGCCCTTACTCGGCCCCTCGCTGCCCGTTGCGGCCCGTCGCCGCCCTTCAGTGGCCCGTTGCCGCCCTTTCCGGCCCGTCGCCACCCTTTGCAGCTCAGCGCCTCCCTTCCCGGCCCTTCGCGCCACCCTAACGGCTCAGCGCCGTCCTCTTACGGCCCGCCGTCGCCGCCCATCGGCTCAGCCCGCCGCCCTTGCGGCCCTACGAGCCGCCTGTCGGCCAACCGTGCGCCACCCTACCCGGCCCCGGCGCCTCCTCCTCCGATCCCGCAGCCGCCCCACCTACACTCGAGCCGTCGTCACGGAGGCAGGAGCCGCCGCAGTCGGGCCGCCGAGCCGCCCAGCAGCCGAACCGCCGAGCTGCCAAGCAGCCGAGCCGCCGAGCCGCCCAGCAGCCGAGCCGCCGAGCAGTCGAGAACCCGAGCCGCCAAGCCGCCGAGCCGCCGAGCCGCCCAGCAGCCGAGCCGCCGAGCCGCCCTACAGCCGAGTCGCCCGCACTTCCGAGCCGCCCGAGCAGCCCAGTCCGGTAAGTGCGGCGCCTCTGTCCCTGCACTGCCCTTACCCTACTAGTCGCGCTGCTAGTCTACTGCTGTCATGGCTACCCCTAGTGTCCTCGATTTTGACGCTGAGGGTTGGACCATTGACTTTGACGTCTGGGTAGATGACATGCAGCTTTTCCTCCAGTGCGATAGGGCAGACGGACACTACCTCTTTGACCTCACCTCTGGTGCCTCTCCTTCTCCTGCTGCTGATGTTGACGCCACTGTTCGCTCACAGTGGGCCACGCGCGATGCTGCTGCACGTCTTGCTGTGCGTCGCCACCTCCCTACCTCTGA